CATAGAAGGAGATCAGGTTGGTCAAGCAGGACCTGCCTCTCATGAACCCGTGCTGGCTGGGCCTGATCCCCTGGTTGTCCCGCTCATGCCTTGTGAGCGCCCTCAAGATGAACCGCTCCATAATCTTCCCTGAAATCATACAGCAACACTGTTCAAGCATGCGATGTACAGATATGGCAGGTTTTGTTTGTTTGTTTGTTTTTCAGGGGAGAAGGGGCAGGGCGGGAAGAGGAGTATCACTCTGCATTTTCTGAAGTAAAATAATGTGATACATAACCTGCTATCATAAAAAGTGCTACAATATAGGTGTAGAGTACCTATAAGCATTTACAAAGATGCTTGGACTGCATCTGTCCAGAGAGTAAAAGACTACTTTTCCCCTCAATTATATAATTTGTCAAACACAGCAGAGTTTATAAATATTTATCATTAGGAAAACACCTAGGATATTTTTCCTTTCTTTACATTTATTTGGCATGCAGAATCAACTCACATTAAGTTCTTACGAATAGCCAGGCCACCATAAAAGGGGCATACGAGTCCTACATGGTTCACTACCTGGTAGCAATGCACATAAACAGTGTTTTTATTAGACAATCCCTCCATAGAGAAAAAAACCCAACAGTATATCCAAAGTAAAATCTGTTAAATCAAAAGACCTTGTACAGGGCAGTGCACAAGAAAAATAATTTCTAGTACCTTTGTAAAGGTCATCTTCAGTTTTTATGGCAGTTTGCTTTCATTTGTGTCTCTTAATTTGAAGAACTGTACAGTACCTGTCCAGTATATGCAAAGTCCAGGGCTTGTTTTAAACCAAGGCTTGTGACACCATGCAAATTCACCTCATCAGCTTCGCTTTCAACCATGCAGAGACTGAACATTGCCTACAGAAAGAAAAGAAATGTTATTAACCATTAAAAACAACCCCCAGTGAAGGTCCAGGAAGAATAGGATTGATTTTTCCACCTTCCTAACCTTTGTTTTTCCTTGGATAAGAATTCTAAATACCAACAGACTTACGAGTTAGAGTGAAATCTATACCAAGTTTTCAATACTAACCCCATGGCGATCAATCTTGCAACTGATTCCTTTTATCAATAAAGAAATACAAAAACTTATTCTGGAAAACCTGAAACAAATCCTTTTTGTCCATGTATATATACTTCCTAATTAAGTAATTCAGGTGCAATCAACGGAAACAGTCAGACAATAAGGTATCATTCAATAAAAAAAGATAAAGAACTGGACTCTGGAAAAAAAAAAAACCTACACAAGCACCACTAGAAATAATACTTATGTATAGTATCATTATATATAGGAAGGAACAATAAGCCATACACAGCTACTTGTAAGAGAAGAAGGGGCAGTTAACACACCATCTTTTATAAACAATCCTTTCCAAATAAGCACCTCAAACTGGAATGTGAACAGTATTGTAAGTCATTGAATGAGGAGCAAGGATGGAGATGTAGTCACCTAAACTTACAACCTCCCCTTACTTGTTATTGTCCTAGTTTCTCAGATCATAAAACCTAAACTGAAGATTGGCAAGGCGGTATGGAACTTCCCTGAAAATAACACTGAGGAGAGCAACTGTCCCTTTCATCCAGTCTTACTTTCCAGACCATCAGTCTTCAGTGCCTTCCTGGACTGAAGCAACCCTACTCAGACTTTGGATCCTTGTAGGAATCTTTTTCTTCCCACCCCCGTTAAACTTAGACTCCTGTCTTTGCCCCTCACTTTTCCCTCCCAGACTGCACTCCCGCTGCAGTATCCCTGCTTACCACTCCTTCCCTCCTCTTATCAGTCCCATTCTCCAGTCCAATACTTTTCCAGAAAAGCAACCTTTATCTTTGTCACTCTCCCACACGTTTTTTAACAAAATATACCACTCAGAGTCTTCAGACAGTAAACTGCGAACAAATAAACTGAACAGTTCTACCATCTGTCATTGCTAAAGAGAGTCTAAACTTATCCCCAGTAGGTTTTGTGCCAAACTGTAAATGCCTCTACGGAGGGGCTACCAAACTTCACCTTGGAGAACTTCAGTGAAGGAGCACTTCTTACAAATATACCCTTTCCTACTTCTGTCTCTACTCTGGCCGATACCTGCAGAAGCTGAGGCAGTCAATAAGAACACTGGTTTTCATATGTGCAACCTGCCCACCAAGTACTGCTGAGTTTAAAGGAAAAAATAAGCCCTACCCCCTTTGGCTTCTTTGAAGAACTGAGTGTTTCCTGCAAATAGGTAATTTCTTCTGAAAGTGTTAGCATTTTCATCATTAAAACGCCACAATTTGACATAAATCTGTTGCCTGGAAATCATCCAGTATAAGCAAGAGTGACATTTATCACATGGCCACTCCTTGTATTTTTGCAATTTCTATTTCAATAAAGTGATATCAGGGCTTCTTCCAAACTGACAACAGAAAAGAAGCGTCAAAAAGTTTTAAAAGGTTTAATCAAACAAATGTAGTAAGACCAGCCATGAAATACACCTAGATAGAAAAAAAAATTTCTAACAAGTTCATACACTTTTCTAATTCCATTAAAAATGTAATCAGAGTTGGACATTTCATTGTCATTTAGATGTATCAAATGAGCTCTAATAGCTATTGTGAGGCTTCAGGGCTTGCCAGGAGCTGCAAGGTACCCATCAGCCACCTGCTCCTTGCAAAAGCAGACCTGCAGTTTCTGTCTGGAAGAGACAAGCTTCTCTTCTCAGAAATTCACTACTAAATAAACTTTTTGGATAATGTTTTCCCTTCCCCACATCAATTCCTGAATAAAGAGAGTAAAGTCTCAAAGCAACACCTATCTACATAGCTCTTACAGGGGTAGATTCGCACACGTTCTGTACGCTCAGTTCTGTCAGAGTGCTTGCAGAAAGGCTGGAAATGCTCAGTGATACAAGATCACGCAGGCTCTGCATTCTCTGACTGTGCTACAGCAACCATCTGTGCACTACCTACCTGTACGTAGGAACCATCAAAAAACCAGTGTGGCTACTAATAAAATTTCTCTTCTGGTCAAGGGCTGGATGTCCCACACAATGGGTTAAGCTTACAGATACAAACACACACTTAACTGAATCTCATCTGTAGACCATGAATCATTTCTATGAAGAACTGGGAGACTGTTTCTTTGTAGACTTACTAAATTTACTTTTAGGAGACTATTGTATTGTATCACACAGATTCCAACATGGTCCTTACACAGGGCTTATTACTACACCTACCTTAGTAAACTCAGCAGGATCAGGCTGCTAACTCAGTCCCTGTCCGTAATCATCCACAGCATTTAATGAACACAGCCTCCAGCACAGCTTTGACACCCTGCCAACTAGCACTCTCCCAGGCAATGCCCAGACTATGGTTCAGGGGATAACTCAAGCCATGGCTGTTCCAGACAGACAGCATGGATAAAGCCAACCTGTTTGCAGAGGGGAGAAGGTTTAGCCATATGGACACAAGCCATGCGGTGCCAGTTGCTTTTAGGGCTGGAAACAAGCTCTTATGCATCTTATTTACCAGTACAGGCATAGTCTAATAGTGCAACGGGCTATCAGAACTGTAGCTGCCAGTAAGTCACGGGACTATGGCTTTGCGTGCCATCTGCTATATGGAGTTCATTTTCACTCGTACTATCCTCTGAGTATTCTGTGGAAGTTTTTGATACTGAGTATGAACTACATTTGTTTTTCAGGGGGCAAGGCCAAAGAATGTAATCGAAAGATAAGGTCTGCAATGGTCCTCAGACAGTTCACATTCAGCTGAACTGGATTAGCCTCCAGTGAAGTAGTCTCCCACACAGATAAACCTAGTACTGCTCAGTGATCCACACTGCCTTCACCAGCAGGCAAATTTCCTTCTCAGCCTGATAGTTTAAAGGTTTAATCCAGCATGAAAAAAAATCTGTTCAATCATAGGCAGAAATAGAGCTCAAACTCAGTCTTTAATTTGCACTGCTGTACTTGAATGTTATAGTTTTAACTGTAGAAACATAAGGATTATTAAATTCTGGCTTGAGACTTCACCAATACCCGGAGAATACCCAACAGCTACGCTTGGGCTGTCAAACTCTGATTTCAGATGCATCTCTGAAAACACTCTGAGGTTTTGTGAGCTTAAATATATCCATCAGTCATGCTTTTAATGCACAGCTAGTAGCCTACTTTAGTTTTCCCTGGAGTACATTAAAAACAAGGCAATAAGATAAACATCTCAGGTGGACGTACAAGTGACAGACAAGAAAAACAATTAAATATAAAATATTTGGACAAGTGCACAACTCAGAGTCAAACTTACCAGAAAAGTTACCAAATTTGGCTAAGCATGAGATGTTAATTATTTTTAGTTATTAATTTCCTTCAACAATGCTAATATTTCATACTTTATTTTAAAATACTTCTGAGTATCTGAGAGGCTGAATCCACACAAAATGCCTTCAGTTTGTCTATCTTGACCTTCTTATGCTCATCCCTTACCTTCAGCTACATCAGCCCCTAGCCGACTTTTCTGATATGTTCCAAATGGGAGGTGAGCAAATGACCATTTAAATTACTGCTTTCAAGAAATACCCTGGCTCTTCTAAGAATAAAGTACATGGTTCCCGTGTATAGCAATTACCTCTAAAATATCTCAAAATTCCCTCAGCAAGAACGTGAAGAGACATTCATCATTATACATTTCTCTTTGATTCAACTCTAAATGAAACTTTCAAAATAAATCTAAGCTTTCAAAAACCAGAAAGCAAGCTGAACTTACCACAGCAATCTACAGTAACCCAGAGAGCAATATTTCAAAATCTCCTCCCTCTGTTTTCTCAAACATTGTTTTGATAACTACCAGCAGCCCGAGTTCTAAGTCCACTACAATACAAAATGAACATGTGAACCTCCCTACCAATGCATAGCTCTGAACTACACAAACTCGTTCGACTTAGCACAGACTTAGCAGTAGATAGCAAGCACAATAATAAAGTCCTGGGATACTTTAGAATCACCTCCATTAAAAGCTGCATTCACATGATGTTCAGGGGGTTTCAGCAAGGCCAAGCTTGTTTTGCACAACACAGTGCAAATATCTCAACTCAGTCCATCTCCCACTCACTTAACCCTGTCACCTTTCATCCTTGACTCTAACTCACAGTTGAAAGCTTTTGCAACTGATGTACAAGAGCCTGCCTTTACCTTCAGCTGTTGTTCTTGTGTGGCTGTCCAGAAATCTGACATATTCTCTACTGTAAAGTGCGTAAGCATTTGCTGTGCTTCCTCACAATCACCACCAGATAGGGAGAGTGGAAAGTTGGCACAGAGTGAACTAGCATTCTTGTAGTTCCTTTCACTGTGCCACACTCAAAAAGATGAACACCCAGGAAGTCAAGATGAACTAACAGCGAGTTAAGCTCAATGCACATGAGCTTTCTCATCTCTAAGTCAGTATAGAGCTCTGTGTTAAAAACTCATTCCTACTTTTCCTACTACTTATCAACTATATTGTAAGCACTCTGGTCAAATGTTATGGGAAAAATTTTTCATCAGTCTTACCATAAGTTAAACCTTAAGTATGCCATCCCCCCCAGCTTCCTATTACTGAGGCTGAGCTCTGTAGGAAAAAATTAAAGTGCACCAAACAACTTGTTTTGTAGTCACATTAACTATTTAACTAACTTTTTTCCATGCAATTCAGAAACATGTCTGAACAAAAAACTTAACATATACTTATAGCAGAAAAAAACCTACAACAACTTTGAAAGTGAGTGAACATCCATTCTGTCTATCTAGCAAACTAATTGGTAAAATACTGATCAATGTAATCACCGAGGTTTTCCTTAGCTATTTATCTTCTTGCACTGAATTTTTAAGGTAAATAACACTATCTAG